GAGTATAAAATGGTACAGCTGTTCTGGAAATCTGTCTGGCAATTAAGAAATTTATAAGAATAAAGTTAAACATGCACTTACCATATGATCCAGCAATTCCACTCCCAGATATTCCACTATGGTAAATGAACAGATATTCACACAAAAATGTGTAGAAGAATGTTCATAACAGGTTTATTTATATTAGCTCCAAACTGAAAACAATCCAAAAGCCCATGAGCAGGTGAATGGATACACAAATTATGATATATTCCCATAAAGGAGCAGTACTCAGCAATAAAAATGATAGAATTACAGCAACCCGGATGAATTTTCAAATTATGGTGCTGAAGGAAAAACAGGCCACAGAAGAATGTTTGATTCCACTGATATAAAAAACTGGAGAGCAGTTGAAAACAAATCTATAATATACATAAAGCAGCCGGGTCAGGGTAGTGAGACTCATCAAAAAGTTGCAGAAGGGTTGGGCATGATGGCTTATGCCTGTAACCCCAGCACTCTGGGAGGCCGAGGCAGATGGATTGTTTGAGCTCAGGAGTAGCCTGAACAAGAGCGAGACGCCTGTTATATATATTACCTTATTATTTATTATAATTAAATTATATGTATATATATATAATATATAATATATATATTACAGGCATGGTGGTGCATGCCTGTAGTCCAGGTACTTTGGAGGCTAGGGCAGGAGGATTGCTTGAGCCAGAGTTTGAGGTTTGCTGTAAGTTAGGCTCACGCCACGGCACTGTAGCCCAGGCAACAGAGTGAGACTCTATCTCAAAAAAAAAAAAAAGAAAAAAGTAAAGTTGCAGGAGGGTCGATGTAAATGTTCTATATGTTGATTAAGGTGGTGGTTATGCAAGTGTCTGCATTTGTCAAAATGCCTCAAACTGCACATTTAAAATCAATGTGCTAGGCCGGGCGTGGTGGCTCACGCCTGTAATCCTAGCACTCTGGGAGGCAGATGCGGGCGGTTCCTCAAGTCAGGAGTTCGAACCAGTGAGGCAAGAGCGAGAGTGTGGGTGTGGGGGTGGGGGGGGGGGTGGGGCCGTGGCTCTACTATAATAGAAAGAATTAATTGGCCAACTAATATATATAGAAAAAATTAGGCAGGCATGGTGGCGCATGCCTGTAGTCCCAGCTACTCGGGAGGCTGAGGCAGGAGGATCGCTTGAGCCCAGGAGACTGAGGTTGCTATGAGCTAGGCTGACACCATGGCACTCACTCTAGCCTGGGCAACAAAGCGAGACTCTGTCTCAAAATTAAAATAAAATAAAATAAAATAAAATCAATATGCTTTATTGTATGTAAATTATACCTGTGGTAGGTAAAATTTGGGCCCTATGACCTTTGTCCCTTGACGTTATGCTCAAGAATATGTTATGTTACTTGACAGAAGAAACATTGCAGATGGAATTAAGGTGGTTAATCAGCTGGCCTTCAGATGGGGAGAATAGTCTGAATTGTCCAGGTATGCCCAATGTAATCACATGAGCCCTTAAAAGAAGGTCAGAGAGATACAGTGGAAATTGAAGTCAGAGAAATTGTAAGCAGGAGAGAGACTTGATGCATTGTTGCCGGCTTGAAGATGGAGGATGGAAAGTGAGAGGGAACTGAATTATGCTAGCATTGCAAATGAGCCTGGAAGTAGATTCTCCCCCAGAGACTCCACTAAGGAGTGCAGCCTGTCAACACCTTGGTTTTGGCCTTGTCTGACCTTAAGCAGAGTACCCAGCTGAGCCCACCTGGACTTCTAACCCACAGAAACTGTGCAATAATAAATGGGTATTGTTGTAAGCTGGTAAGTTTGAGGTAATTTGTTATACAGCAATAGGAAACTAATTAGGATATTCAAAGTTGATCCAAATATTAAAAAATAACTTAATAAGCCAATAAAATGCAGTTAAAAATCATACTCCTAGATTAATTTGGATTAAAGATGAAATCAAAGATGTTACAAACTGTCATGAAAACAATGAAAAGAAAACCCTTCATGATAATGATTTCACAATGTATTAATATATGTATATCAAAACATTATACTGTACACTTTAAATATATACAATTTTCATTTGCCAGTTATACCTCAATAAAACTGGGTGTAAAAAAGAATCACCTAGGCAGCGAATTGTTCTCTGAGGAAACTGCATTTTAATAAGTTTCCTGGGTAATTCCTGTGCACACTGAGGTCTGAAAACTATTGCCTTCATGAGTTCAGATTTAAGGTGACTTTTTAAAAGAAAGTTGGGGTTTGATTAATGAATATGAGATATTGTTTATTTCTTCATATTTCCAAGCTCCACAGATCATAAAACTACTTTTCCTGAAAAGTTATCTGTACGGTAATCCTAGCACTCTGGGAGGCCGAGATAGGAGGACCCTTTGAGCTCAGGAGTTCAAGACCAGCCTGAGCAAGAGCAAGACCTCATCTCTACTAAAAATAGAAAGAAATGATCTGGACAACTAAAACTATATATAGAAAAAAAAATTAGCCAGGTATGGTGGTGCATGTCTGTAGTCCCAGATACTTGGGAGGCTGAGGCAGGAGGATTGCTTGAGCCCAGGAGTTTGAGGTTGCTGTGAGCTAGGCTGATGCCACGGCACTCTAGCCCAGGTAAGAGAGTGAGACTCTGTCTCAAAAAAAAAAGTTATCCTGCGGAAGTCAAATTAAGTTGAGAGGATTAGTCTCTGGAATTTTAATAAAGGTATATGGAGATAGTGTAATTGAAATGCTCACTTTTTGCATAAGAAATCTCACTGTTCATCTTTTCCCACTGGCAAAAATAAAAGACTGAGGTTTTATATATTAATGTATGAACAGTGCATTGCTACATGCCAATTATACAGCACAGTTAATGAATCAATAGCTTGTTTTCTTCTCAGTGAAAATAAAAAGAAAACCCTTTATTCCAAAACCTATGGGATACAGAAAAGGTGTTCTCTGAGAAAGATGTATAGCTTTAAACGTCCTTAAAAACAAAGGATGAAAAAAAAATTACTTTTTCTAAGTATTAGAAAAAATACAGCAAGATAAGCCAAAAGAAACTATGAAGAGATCATTGATAAAAAATAAAACCTAAAAATTAATTAAACATCCAAAAATAACTAGGAAAAATAAATAAACCCAAAAGCTTATTCTGTGAAAAGACCACCACCAACAAAGTCCCTGGCTTGTTCAAGGAAAAAAGATAAATAGCAAAGATATAAGAATTTCAGAATGAGAAAGAGCACATAACTACAGATGATGTGGAGTAAAAGAATCATGAGATAGTGCTATATGCAACACTGTGGCAACACAATTGAAAAAAGAAAGAAAATTATTTGCTATTCTTGGCAATAGAAAAAGATGGAGCACTCATCAATTCTTTTCATAAAACCAATAAAACTTTAATACCAAAACCTAATAATAGTGAAAAATGAAGCTATAGATCAATGTCACATATAAAGGCACACAGGCTCTAAAGAAATATTAGCACATAGAACTCAGCAATAATCAAATTATATAAAGAGTAGATTTCACTCCAAGAATGTAAGGGTATTCAGTGTCAGGAACTCTATTAACATAATCTATTTGTTCATCAACATATTAAAGAAGACAAAGGAGATAATGCTAGATTTTGAAAAGTCATTTATAATAAAAATTTTATGGCAAATGGGAATAGAAGTAACCATCTGAAGTAAAATCATGGAATAGAAGGAATGCTCACTTTTATTGTCTAAGGTTTTCTGATAAATTCAATAAGATAAGAAAATGAAATAACTGGTTATAAATATTGGAAAAGAACTAAAGTCTCTCTCATATGGCTAATGATATGATTTAATACTCATAGAGACTCTAGGGTAAAATTACTAGAATTAATAACATGAATATATGCAAACCAATCGCTTTTCTCTATTCTGGTACTAAGTACTTAGAGATGGAAATGGGAGAAAACTATTTTATTAACAAAAGCAACACTTACAAAATGCATAGGGATAAATATAATAATAAAACCAATTATATTTATTACATTTATACAATTAATATATATAAGTTTAATGAAATTTCAATTAGAATCACAATAGGGCTTGGCTCTTTTTAATTGGAAGAATAAAATGCTTCCAATTAAAGCTATTCCAAGAAACTGATGCAACATAAAGAGAAAAAAAAGGATTGATACATTGAACCAAAAGATAGTTCTTGACAAGACTAATACAATCAAGAAACCTCTTGGAAATATTATTTTTAAAAGAGAGTAAAAAATAAGAGAGAAAAAGAGAACATATGCAACACAAGGAATGAAAAAGCAGATATAACTACAGACACAGAAGAGTTTAACAAGAGGCTATTATGTAAGTTGATATCAATACACTATCAAATGCAGGGATATAGATTGCTTTGTATGAAAATATATAACCAAAACTGACTGAAGAAGAGGCAGAAAAATGTGAATAAACTGATGACCACAGATAATATTAAAATGGTTATTTAATAATCTACTCACCCCAAATGTACCAGAACTCGCAAAAGATGAAAATCTTCTGAACTAATGGCTAATTTTACCCTTATACTAAAAGTAGGCAAAGCTATCAAAAACGCACCACAGGTATACACAAGAGAACTAGAGACTAAACTTGTTTTTAATATTGACTGGATCTCATTATCCTGATACTTTCTATAGAAGCTTGGGTGGGCAGAGGGAAGTTTTGTTTTCTCTCTTATGCCCCTTGTCCCTTCATCCTCCCTGTACCTTACTCTCTAGATTCCAGAGTGGCAGCATGTGACAAAGAGAAGCAATGGACAAAACAGAACAAAAAATTGACTAATAGGTCAGATATATGAGAAGACTTGGCAATTAGCATTTGTATTAATAGCTCAAATGTATGTATGCCTTACCTGGAAATGTTTCTTCTGGGTTCAACTAGCATCACAGCCATATAACCTGATCTACCTTCCTCCAACCAGAGTCACATCCCCACAATCTTGGCCCATCGTCAGATCCTATAGAACATGCCTTTACCTTGTGTCCATGTGCAGCTCACCAAGCAGGTCATGATTCATATAGTCCCAGGACAGTTCCACTGCACCCAGGTAGTATCTTCTGGTGGCACTAAAGCTGAATCGCAATAGGCACAGAAAGAAGTAGGTGGAGAACTCTATTTTCATGACTCTTATTGTTAGAAAAATGTTCAACTAGAGAAATGAAAGATTAATTCTTCTCTAAAATATCTTTGGCTCCCAGGAGAAAAAGGTGTACTTTCTATGATTTAATAAAAGTCCCAATTATTTTGGAGAGCATTTTAGAGAACTTTACTGCTGAATGTGACAGCAACATTAGCACTAAAGCAGTAACTGACAGGATTGCTTCCTTTTTGGCAGCGGGAGGCAGCCACAGGAAGAACTAAAGTAGGGAAATGGAGGCCGAGCTAATGCTTAACCCATTCACCTCTGAGAGCAGTAGGGGCATGAGACATCTACTTTAATCAGAACCTTTTAGGAAGAGGATGGAGAGACCAAGGTGAAGAGAAGCTTTAATTTGTACTGATATTCCTAACCTATTCCAACCCTCTTCCTTAGTGGTAGTGGCCAGAGAAGTTCCGGATGCTGTTGAAGATTTTGGAATTCACTTGCACAAGCAGAGTAACTAGTATCCTATTAGTCTCTCTCCTTCTACCCTTGCTCCTCACATAGCTGCCACAGAGTGACTTTTTTAAAACTATAAAGTGAGTCATGTTACTCCTCTTCTCAGAATCCTCCAATGGTTTCTAACCTCCCTCACAGTAAAATGATGTCTTTACCATGGCCTAGAGCAGGGATCCTCAAACTTTTTAAACAGGGGGCCAGTACGCTGTCCCTCAGACCCTTGGAGGGCCGTTGGACAGTGCGGCGCACGTCCCACACATGCGCACTGTGGGCCTGGGACGAATTGGCTGCTAAGAAGGACAGACAGCGGTGGCAAAAACACCCAAATGTCCTCCGCGGGCTGCATGTGGCCCACGGGCTGTAGTTTGAGGACACCTGGCCTAGAGCATCCCACATGGTCTGCATACCCCTTCCCCTGATCTCTGTGGTTCACTCTGGCTACGCTGGCTTTCTTGTTTTTCCTTAAAACATCAAGCACACTCATGACCCTAGACCCCAATATTCGCTATTTACTCTACCTGAAACACCTTTCCTCCAGGTCTCCACACAGTTCCACTCCCACAACTTGTTTGTATCTTGGCTCAAATCTTGCCTGCTCAATTAGTTTCCAATATGGAAACATTTACATTGTAAGTGCTTTACCCCCATTGGCACTACTGATATCCCTCTTGGCTTCCCTTTTCTTGATAGTACTCATAACCACCTGGCATTTATTTATTTGTTTTGTGGTGCATTTTAAGGTTGTTTACATTTGGGTCCAGGTACAGGATGTATGTCTTTACATCAAAATGTAGCCATGCTGAGCTCACACAGAGGCCCTACTGACATTAATGTATATAAGGGGGAGTGAAGGTCCCCCCCAACCCAAGGGCCTCAAAGTGTAGGAGCTAATGAGAAGAAAAGTGACCACGGTTGCTATAAGAAATGTTATCACTGAGTCCAGTTCTGCACAAATAAGAATGTGTTAGGGAGCAATTGGTGAATTGTTGTCCATCTTGTAAACAAACAGGAAGAATTCCTTTTGATAAACATTTGCTAAGACCTCATCTCTGAAGGCACCAGGATGCAGAGATAATAGCTGCTACTTACTATATGCCAGGAACTGTTCTGAGTTCTAATACAGTTGGTATTGTTGTTCATTTTATGGGCAATGAAACTGAACACGAAGAGGTTGGGCAACTTGCCCATCATTATGCAGTTTGTAAGTGGTAGCATTCAAAGCCATGTAAATCTGGCTGTAAATCCAGAAGCCATGTAAATCCAGAAGTAATGCTTCTAACCACTATACTTCTATGCTTTAGAAATGAATAAAACCCAGTTTCTGCCCCCTGAGAGTCACAATCCAATGTGGGGAGAAAGAAAAGTATACAGTTACAGCACAGGATGATAAATTCTCTGCTAGGTGCTTCACACACTATGACAACACTGAAAAGTGGGTACAGATAAAGCAACTGAAGTGAAGAGACATTAAATGGCTTTCCTAGGGCCAGACAACTACCCATTTCTTCTAGACAGACATTGTCCTAGCCACTGGATGCATAGCAGTGAAAAATAAAAAGAACTGGAAGGACAATAAGCAATAATTATAACATATGAGTAAGTTATACAGTATGTTAGGAGGTAAAAATAAATGCTGTACACAAAAAGAAAAGTAGGCAGGGTAAGGGGGAGTGTGTATCAGGTTGCAATTTTTAAAGTGGTTGGTTATGGAAAGTTTCACTGAGGTTACATTTCAGCAAAGGGACTTTGGCTTCTACAAAGGGCAATAGGGAGCCATAATAGGGCCCTGAGTAGAGGAGGGACTTAACTTTGAAATTAACTTTGAAACTGATCTTTCTGACTACAGTAGAGAGAACAAACCTTATGACGACAAGGGTAGAAGCAGGGTGACTGGTTAACTGCCAGGGTTAGGGGTGAGAAATGTTATTGGCTTGGGCTATGAGGATAGTACTGGACAGGCTGAAAAATAACTGGATGCATTATGAAGGTAGAGTTTATGAGAACTGTAGATGAATTTTGGATCTGTGGACTTTGAGAAGGGGAAGTTCGGAATCACGCCAAGGCTTTCTTAAAAGTGAAGATGCCATTGACTGGGAAGGGGGTGGTTGGGGCGGAGCGATGTATCCGTAGATCTTCCCAGGTTAAAGAGTTCCATAGGCGCGGCGAGCATGGAAGTTCATTTCCTTCCGAGCGCTTCTCTTATTTATGGTGATTGCAGTGTTTTTTAATATATGTCTTTCTCCACTAAAAGAGAGTTGGGCACATCGCAGGAGCTCATAAATATCTGCTCAATGTTTACATTAACACACTTGGTAAAAAAACAAACAGAAAAAACCATACATGGCGAGTCTGCCTTCTTTATTTTCAGTGAAGTCAAGGGTAAAATATTCGTAATGAGGGGAAGACGGAGTCACGGTCGCGTCAGGGGAACTCGCTTCTGAGACAGCTTGCGGGGCAACCCCATCCCGAAGAGGCTTTCTGCGCACGCGCGTCTCGGTGTGTCTATTGGGCGGGGCTACGGGCCTGTGACACCACCCTCTGAGTCTTGTGACGCAGCTGTTTGTGGGAATAAGAAGCTGCCGCCACGGCCCCAGCCCGTCCTCTTCCGCTGCCGCCGTGGGGATGGAAACATCTGCCCCACGTGCCGGAAGCCAGCTGGTGGCGACGACAGCGCGCCACTCCACGTCCTACAACGCCGGTCTTCTGCGAGTGCCCTCGCGAGACGAGCTCGCCGAAATGGCCACCTCCGGTCAAGGTAAGGACAGGCGGGTGCGCGCGCGGGGTCGCTGCGGCTGGCACAGCCAGGAGTCGCCTTCCTGGGCTCAGGAAGGGGAAGGGCTCCGCGGCTGCCTGTCTCAGCCGAACTCCTCTGGGGAGCCAGAGAGGCGCAGGGGCGGGGAGGGATCCCAGGACTCGCCACAGGCCCAGCTGCTCCCAAGGTCGTGCGCCAGCTGGGGCCGAACCGTCTCCGGGTGTCCTCTCCAGTCTAGCTCATGCAGCCTTCAGGCGCCGCCCCTAACAGCTAAATCTGGAGACATTCCGTCACTGTTTTCAGAAGCGGTCTGACTCCTTGAGACTAGCTTCTTTGACCCTTTGGACGCTCATCTCAAATGCCTCACAGGCGTCATTATGTGTGCAACTGCGTTATTGATGGTTTTGAAAAACTAGCACACGTGAGGATACTAGCACACGTGAGAGTACTTTGAAATAGTCTTTAGTCGGCAGGGTCAAAGGAAGATTCCTTATAATTCGCAGTGGAGTACATCTTTGAATTATGCTTCATGCCCTATTTTGAATGCTTAAACTGTATTTAATTCAGTGCTGGCTCACAGGAACTGACTGCTAGGCAGAGCCATCATTGAAAATTCAATTATATAAACTTAAAATTAAATAAATTATATTAAAAATAAAGACAGGAAAATACTCAAAACTCATCACTTCTTTAATACTGTGTTTTATTGTTCTCTATACTAACTTTTTAAAAATTTCGGCATATTATGGGGGTACAGATTTTGAAGTTTCAATAAATGCCCTCCCCCCCCAAGTCTGAGTTTCCAGCATGACCATCCCCCAGATGGTGCACATCTCACTCATTTCTATACTAACTTTTGAGGTTGTTTATATCTATCGTGTCTGCGAAGGAGATACCACACAGTATGGTGGGCTACTGTGCATCTCTTCCCAATTCTGGGTTCAGTGATGGATGTAACAATTCAATGATGTCATGCTCATGGTGAACGAATACACCATGGAAGTTGGTATATACTACAGATCAGCTCTTGCCCAAATCTGGTTGTTAAACATTTACCAGCACACCACTGAATTTAGATGACTCTAAGGAGTTGGAATGTGCAATGTGACAGTTACGTATTTTCCCTCAGAGCACACTGTTTTCATTGATTTAAAATGTATGTAGGTTGATCAGGTAGTTGCACCTAGGAAATTGATAAATTTTGAGGGTACCATGAATTTCAATCCTTATCATAGTGATGATCACATAATGTGATCATTGATTTCCCGGGCCCATAAACGTAGCTAGTGACTTACTTTTGTCTATCATAGTGCTTAGCAGTGTTTGATGAATGAAGTTGGGTGAACCAGGTGTCTCTGATTTAATTATCCTTTTGTCAGGAACCACCTATTGAGCTAAGGAGCTTGGTCAGATTACATTAAAACAAAACTCATTCTTATTTTCAGTGATATTCTTCAACCCAGGGAGAGAGTTTCTTCTTTGACATAGTAATGTTTTGTTGTTACATTAGAAAATATTAAACTGCTTGTGAGGCCATAGAGGACCCAGTTCCTCAAACATCCATATTTTGGTTCTGCTAAATTGGGATCTATGATCTATCTTGAATAAATCCTTGAATTATATTTTGTATATGGTATAAAGTAGAGGTTGAAAGTTTTTTCTTTAATATGAGTATCTAGTAGTTATAACACCATTTCTTGAAAAGACTTTCTTTTCCCCCATTGAATTACCTTGATGCCATGTTATTAACAATCAAATGACTATATGTGTGTTTCTATTTCTGGCCTCCGTATCTTCTTCTATTGTTATATTTGTGTATCCTTAGGTCATTTCAGCACTGTGTTGAATGCCACAGCTTTATATTTTTTTTTTTTTTTGAGACAGAGTCTCACTTTGTTGCCCAGGGTAGAGTGAGTACCGTGATGTCAGCCTAGCTCACAGCAACCTCAAACTCCTGGGCTCAAGCAATCCTCCTGCCT